AGTACAGACTCCAGTGCATCGGCATAGCGGTCGATGTCCTCCTTAACGTTGAGCTGTGGAGTTAGTTCAATGTGGGCGTAACTTAACTTACTTTTTGAACTTCAGCCAGTTGGTTCGATGCAACGTCAGCCTGCAAGGGTGCTCGATTAATAGAGTTATTAGCACTGGTGAGTGGTCCGATGATAGATCCAAAAGCGATTTTGCAGATATTAGATTACGAGAAATATTTTTTGTCACTGCAAATCAGATAGTTTTCTAGGATCTGAAGGCCAGTATATTGGACTTCCTGGTGGTACGTAGTCCAGTTTGTTGCATGTTCTGATGAGTGCATTATATAGTTGCCTTCCTTTGGGGGTCACAAGTCGGTATCCCCAGTGTTTGTGCTTGCTGCTATGAATCGCTCTCCAAGTGAATTGTAGAAGTCCCTAATTGGTGAAAGTGGTGTTTGATTTGGTCTCTTATTAAGATGCCGGTTCCGCCATGTGCTTGCCATCTGGATGATCGGTGCCGTAGAACGTGAATCCCCGTAATTGAAAGTTATATTTGCTGGTGAGATGCGTTTCTGCCAGCAACATAATGTCGATGGGGTTTTCGTTCAGAAATTTAGTTTAGGCATAATTTATTTGGACTGCTGAGCTGCAAGCATTTGTAACAAGATATTTTGGGTTTGCATTAGAGTTTGCATGGTGGTTTTCATGAAGGACATAAATTCCATCATATTTTGTTGCAAAGTTATCATCATAGTTTCCATGTTACTTTGTGGCTGTTATCAATTTTCGGCTCTATGTGGGCTGATAACTGATAACTGAAGGCCCAAATGATGACCTGGCTGCGAAGAAAACTTCCGGTGTCGTTTGTGATTTCATGTAACTGTTCTGGCATGCCATTGTCGCTCGTTGCATACGACTTTTCATCTCCTTGTAGACTGGACAGCCTCTGTAGTTTGCTGTGTGGTTTTCTTGGCAGTTTACACACTTTTTAGTAAGAGAGTCTTCCTTGTTGGCAGGGCAGGGTTCGGAGCCGTGGCATTTTCCACAAGTTACACAAACTGACCTGAGGGTGCAGTAAGCCCTGGTGTGTCCGTATTCCTGGAAATTTGTTCATTGCACTGGCTCGTTCCGTTTGTACTGCTCTTCTACTGTGATCCTACGGTTACTGCAACTTGTAGATCGGGTGCACTGCGTTTTTTTTCAAAGTTATGCTTTCTGGCTATAGCTCGACCTTGAAAAGTGGTTGCGGCTTCTTGTTTTTGTTTATAATATTTATAACATTTTTAGCGCAAAAACCGTTTTCTTTTAAAGCCTCTATAATTTCAGAGGGGGTCACATCGGGTTCTATTCCCTTGAGGACAACTTGTAAGCCCTTGCAACTTTTCAGCTGGTACGTGTAGTAATTCTTTTTGGCATTGTTTAGGTACCTCGACACTACTCGGAAATCATCTTCGGTTTTGGTTTGAAGTTTGGTTTCGCTTATATTCCCTTTCATAAGCGGAATAACATGAAAGTTATCCTTCCCGACAAGCTCAACTATTTTATTTACTAGGACGTTAGAGATCTTCTCCCGAATAAAGATAGGTGGGGGCTTTAGTTTCTTTGGGGCTAATTCTTCGTACTCTGTTTCAGGCTCCGCCAGAATGGAAAATCTATTTTCATTTAATGGCCCGAGATTTTCAGGGCCTTTGATGGTACGGTTTATTTTGGGCATATTGCCGTCAGATTTTTTTGGGGGTGTTAGCTTGCGCTTGGAAATATTAATGTAGCTATCCATGCCTGTCTGCATGGCTGAACCCGCTTGCGGAATTGTCATTTCTTATACCGTAGCTTTGTTTTTGCCTTTTGACCCGATTTTTGCACTTGGTTGTGTTGTTGCTTTACCCGCTGGAGAAGAAGGGAGTGGAGCCGTTATTGCATTGTTGGCGAAAGAGACCGTTGTAATTGACGTAGTAGTTGCTGTTGTTGGTTCACTAAGTGGCAGAAGCTCGGTTGGAGTTTTGCTTTGCTCACTCCATGGCGTTTGAGCGGTGAAAAACAGGGCGGGAGAGCAAGAACTAGTTCTCTGGTTTTCGGCGGTCAGAAAACTTGTATTACTCGTTACTCGTTGATTTTCATCAAGATGCCGGCAGATCAGAACCTAATCCAGACAATGCATGCTTAACAGCAAGAATTGACAGCAGCTCTTATTGAACAACAACGTACATGGATGCAAGAAATTCTAGAAAAAAACGCTTCTCCAGTTGCTAGTGATTCAAGCCACGCGGGTAAATTATCTATGTGTCCTCCATTCCACAAATTCGACAAAGACAATCAAAATTGGGAGTCATATCTGGAACAATTATCGCAGCACTTCAACGCATATTCGGTTAGTGCAGAACAAAAAAAAAAGCCTATTTCCTTTCATGGTGTGGTGTTAACATATTCGAACTATTAAAAAATCTATTCGGGAGTAACAATTTGAACACGTATACATACAAGCAGCTCACAGATAAGCTAATGGAGCATTTCACCACTAAACGCCATGTTGTAGCAGCTCGCTACGAGTTTTTCAAACGAGAGATGAAGCATTCACAAACACATAGAGAGTGGGTAGCCGACTTGCGCGGGATCGCTCGTAAATGCCAATTTGTGTGCAACGCAAACGGTTGTTTATCAAATTATGTACGAGATTAGATCATAGTACATACTCCGTATGATGCAGTCCGGGCATCTGCTCTTCAAAAGTCACAGCCAACTCTTGAAGATGTACTCATAGTTGCAGAAACCTATGAGACAACAACAAAAACCGTTGCAACGCTAAAAGAGAACGTATACAAACAGGATCCAATCGATGCGATCCACACATATACAAAAAAGTCAGCAAGCAGCGGAAAGGATGCCAGATCGTTTAAAGGTGATCTTAAATCTTGCTCTGGTTGTGGTCAAACTCACCAGAGAGAAAAATGTAAGTTCAGAACAGCGGTATGTCACAAGTGCGGTAGGAAAGGTCATATAGCAGTCGTCTGTATGTCAAAGTATGTCAAGTCAAATGTCAAATGGCCGGGTCAAGTAAATAACCGGGAAGTAAAGTCCAATAAGAACGAAGCAAACGAAATTGAAGTGATCGAAGCAGCTTACAGTGTCGCAGGTCAAGTAAAATGTCAACAAAACAGAAAAGTTATTGATCTTGAAATATTAAAACAAGTTATCTCAATTCAATTGGATTCCGGAGCAACAGCATCCGTGATAAACTCCAATACATACGCCTTGCTGCAGAAGCCGAAATTGCACAAGTGTTCCCGAGTTTTACATGCGGTTGGACATACTCCAATACCAATACTAGGGGAGATGCACACTTTCGCAAAGTGCGGAGAGAAAGAGAAACAAGTGGTCATAATCGTGGCAAATATAGAAACTTCGACTAATCTCTTCGGCATGGATTTATTTAACGTTTTCGGATTTGATATCATGCAAGTATCAAACATTTTTGAGGTACATAATGACAAAGTAAATGACCTCTGCAACAAGTACAGCGAAGTGTTTGAACCAGGCATGGGTGTCATTAAAGACTTCAAAGCCAGCGTATTTTTAAAATCTTCAGCGACACCAAAGTTTTATAAATGCCGCCAAATTTCGTTCGAAGCAGACAGACTCACAAAAAACGGAATTTTGAAACCAGTAAAATTCAGCAAATGGGCATTCCCAATCGTACTCGCTCCTAAGCCAGGTGGCGATATTCGTATTTGTGGCAATTTTAAACAGGCAGTCAACGCACAAATCGACGTCGAACAGTATCCGTTACCAACAAAAGAATCTCTATTTCACATCATTAGTCATGGTAAGGAGTTCAGCAAGATAGACCTTAAGGATGCCTATCTCCAGATGGAATTAGATTTGGCTTCGAAGGAAATCATGGTGGTAAACACACCACTGGGCCTATTTCAATATCAGTGTCTTCCTTACGGGAAGCGCACCAGCAATCTTTCAAAGATACCACGAGCAACTTCTAAAAGGAATAGAAGGTTGTGGCATCTCAGCACCTACAAGCGAGGAACATCTGAACCGAAACGACCGAGTTCTCAGCATTTTTCAAGAGAACGGCATCGATGCAAAAGGCAAAAATGCTTCTTTTTCAAGGACGAAATAGAATACTTTGGGCGAAGAATTAGCGCAAACGGCATTCTCCCAGACAGCTCAGGCTTGGAGGCTGTAAAACTGTTGTGTCCGCCTTCTAACTTACAACAATTGGAAGCATTCATGGGTAAAGTTAATTATTATTGTAATTTAATTCCGAACTATTCGCAGTTGGCTGCTCCATTGAATCAACTTCGCAGAAAAGACGTAGCCTTCTTTTTTGGCCCACAACAGCAGCAGGCTTTTACAGCGCTTAAGTCCCACATCATTAACGCAACGCAGCTAGCTCACTTTGATGAAAAAATAACGCTTGTGCTCGCTACAGATGCCTCATCCTTTGGCATCGGGGTAGTCCTTTCGCATCTTCAGCCAGATGGCGGAGAGAGACCCATTGTTTTCGCATCTAAAACGCTCGACAAGCATCAGGTTAAATACAGCCAAATCGAAAAGGAAGGACTTTCCATAATATTTGGAGTAAAGCGTTTTCACCAATACCTTTATGGCAGAAAGTTTATCCTAATCAGAGACCACAAGCCGCTTGTTACCATTTTTAATCCAGGCAAGCATCTTCCGTTGATGACGTCAAACAGGCTACAACGTTGGGCTAGTATTCTCATGGCCTCCAATTTCGATATCCAGAATCGATCTACATCTGCTCATGGTAATGCAGATGCTCTTACACGCCTTCCAGTGGGTACAGATCCAGACTTCGACAAAGAAGAGGAAGCTTGCCACAATGTAGTCGAAGTATCACCACCGATAAATTCCAAGCAAATTCGCAACCACATGGACAAAGACAAAGTTCTCAAACAGGTCCTGCAGTACGTATCTGTAGGATGGCCAGAAAAACTCCAGCCAGGCAACGAAGCCCTATTGCCTTACTTTAACCGGAAGTTTGCTCTTACAATTAACAGACAATTGCTTTGCCTACACACAGACGCAAATCGTATTATAATTCCAGCCAGTCTACGAGCCCATATCCTAAAACTCCTACATGAAGACCATAGGGGCATTATTCGAATGAAGCAGTTGGCAAGACAACATGTTTGGTGGCTTACCATAGACGATGACATCAAAAGCCTTGCTCAGTCTTGTAGCATCTGCAAGTGCAACAATCCTGCACCACTAAGAGAGTACCAAAATTGGCCAGCAGCAACAACAGCATGGGTGCGAATTCATATCGACTTCGCCGGTCCAATCTTTGACGCTATGTGGCTCATATGCGTAGACGCGTACTCACAGTTTGTCATCCAAATGTCGTCTACAACAACCGTCAACATGATCGCTGCACTGTCTTCGATTTTCGCCATCGAAGGATACCCGAAAATCATGGTTAGCGACAACGGTCCTCAGCTTACAGCTGACGCCTTCGAAGAATTCTGCAAACTGCACGGTATTAAGCATATTACCACAGCACGGTTTCATCCAGCATCCAACGGATTAGTAGAGCGATTTGTACAGACGTTTAAATTCGCAGTTAAGAAGAACCTCAAAGACGGTATACCACTTAGGGTAGCTGTAACAAAATATCTTTCTTCTTACAGGTTCACTCCAAACGCCCAAGGTAAAACTCCTGCCGAGTTAATCCACGGTCGACCAGTCCGCACAGTGCTTAGTCAACTTTTCGAGCAACCTGTCGAAGATAAACAGAAAATCACCAAGTACATCTCTAATCAAATGGTATACGCTCGAAACTATTCAAGGGGAGAAAAGTGGATTGAAGGCATTATCGACCGTCCAGTTTGGAAAGTGCTGTTCATTGTTCGCACGTCAAATGGTTACATCAAGCGCCATTTCAACCAGCTGAAACCGAAGTTGTCAGCAAACAATTCAATCAAGAGACCTCCAGAGTTTTGGTGGATTCCTGAACTGCCAAAACCATCCTTCAATCAAGAAATACAGCAACAAGATCGACCTTCAACTCCGCCAGTTGTTCAGCAACCTGATCCTGTTCCTGTTTCTCGTCCTCCTGAACGCGCAGCAGAGCCTACCCAGCAGTCAAGGCAGAAACAATCTACACGACGTCTTTCAGGCATACCAGTACGCCAAAGCAGTCGTGTTCGCCAGGAAGTAGATCGTTTTAAGCCAAAGGACTTCAGAAAATCTAAGCTAATAAATAGTTCTTAATTAAAGGAGAAGATGTGTTATGTATAAGAAAAATGTATTCTCGCTACTTCGCACATCCAAAACTAATCTGTGTTCCTTCGTTCTATAAGCACACACATGTATACATACACACGTTACTTTTGTTCATTCTCTCGCTGATCTCTGAATAAAGTCAGTCTGTACCAAGCACTCACCGAGAACGCTTCTATTCAAACACAACAAATTAATTACTTAATTAAATCTTTAGTTTACGATAAGCGAATTAGCATCGCGAATCGCAAAACCTCGCGTTTATAAATTTTTTCGAACGTTTTCGACTGAGTGACTAATTGTTTTTCCGGAGCGTTAAGAAATCACGGATACATGCGACCGATGTTTGGTATTCATGTGAACTTAAATCTGGATGACGAGCTCGAAGGATCGTGCCCATGCGGACCCAACGGCAGCTCATGAAGGAATGGCTAAGACACTTCCCCAGTTCTATTGGCCAGGGATGACCATCCAGGTTTCTTATATGTTTTATATTCTTACGAAACTAACAAAGTTGACTAGTCCGTCAATAGGGGTTGTAACGAACTGATTTTCTTTGTTATCTGCTCGCTACGAATATCGTGCGGCTAGCTCAGAAGATGTAAGTGTTCGTCCCACCAAATTTATATAACGTGAACGCCCTGTTGATCAGTGAAAACGCACAGAAAGATTGGAAGTATACATATAAAGATCACTTTTATTCGCCGACTTGACCCTCGGCCTCGGTAGTTTATTGATAATGTAGAACTATGTTCGGTCGTCGTCTCCTTCCCACGTTGAACGTCTCGCTGTATCGTGCTGGCTGCGAAGCTGCTACGACGGTTTCGCTCGCGATGTCCTCTGCTGCCTTTGGTTCGGCGGGATTACAGGGATTAGGACTGCGTCACCGTTCCCAGACTGGGTCAAACGCCAGGTTCTAGACGAATGCTTTCACCCTACCCTCTCTGCCGCAGACTTAAGAATTCGCGTCCTTCCGGGTTAGTCGCACCAGGACCTTGTACAGTTCCTGCAGGACGATCAGGCATACGCCGGAGTTCACCAATGCAGTCCTTGTAGGCAGGTAGCTAGTTCTAGACAACTTTCCTTTTGAGCCCACGGTTCTTCGTCGAAGGACTCTATTTGTTCAACTCTGTCGGACACGCCGGGTGGGATGCCAAGCTCAAATCGCGACAGAAGTTGTGACAAAGCGCCTGGACTTAGCCGTGTGATGCCGTAAGGACCTCAGATACCTGTGTCTCAATTCGGAGACTTAAGCTCTATGTCCCGAACGTCTCGACGTAGCGATCTTGTTTCCTTGATGACTCCGCACGGCTTTACTTGCTCCTTCACGTTGTTTCACTGTTACTTGTTGACTTGGTAGAAATCGACTGATCCAGCTTCATGCGCTCGGCCGGTTTATATAGGCCTCCGTTTACCGCTAGTTATCTACGTCTACTTGCCTCCTGGTCCAAAGTCCACGGTTTTACCGTTAGACCTTTGCTCCTTCGCCCAGACCGTGTCCGCTATTGTTGGATTTCATTGCCTCCTTCGTAGATTGTAATGCCTGGCTTGGTGCTGAGCAGCTTTCTCCATGTTCCGGTGCTGTGAATTGTTGCTTAATGCCCATTTCGTTGATGAATTTTTTGAGTGCGCGGCTGGCAAACTGAACTCCATTGTCCGTTATTACCACCTTTGGGGCTCCGAACCCAGCGATGACTCTTTCTCGGAACGCCTTTTGAAGTGTTTCTGCCGTTGCTGCTCTGTTCACTTTGAAAACCTATCTATCAGCACTAGCAGCATCTGGTTGCCATGCTTCGATCTGGGCAATGGTCCGACAAAGTCTGCATATACAGTTGCCTATGGTTCATCGGGTATCTGCGTCAGCATTTTCCCAGCTGCCTGCATCTAATTAGGCTTGTATTTGAGGCACGTCTCAGCTGCTCCTGATTCCTAGATACCGTATTAGTCTCGCCGATTTTATCGAGACGCCTCCGACTTGAATGGCAGCTGTGGAATGGCTGCTTGCGGTGGATATAAGGACCGCCTCCGTTTTGTGGTCTATGTTTAGCCCAACCGAAGGGAGGTACTACTCTATTGTAGCCCCCGAAATGTTTCCATGGCCCTCCGCTTCTTGGATGGATTTTGCAACGATTACGATGGCTTTATCATACGCGACGCCTATGACCCAGCAGCGGCAGCCTTAGTACATCGTACATCGCATTCCACAGCAATGGCTGCAGTACAGACCCTAGGGGTAATCCGCAAGTGTAACGCGATCGCTGAAGTATGCTTGGGTAGCAGAACCAGCTTCTGAATCTCCCACACCTCCGCAAAGATGCTTTCCGTGAGGCACAGGTTGAAGGTGCTTGCGACGGCGTATCCCCGGGAACCCTTCGGTTTTCTTCCGGCTGGGATCGGATCGGTGATCGGTGGCTCCACGTGCCATATGCATCCGCTGCGAAGCTGTGGGCATAGATGTGAACAGGTGTCCCACGATCGTCGTCATGCTTATTAAATTTTTTTACTACAATTTTGTCGTTACCGTTAGACCTTTCGCCCTCTGCGCACGGCACCAATATCAGGGTCCAAAGTCCGGTGCCGTCCTGTTACTTCCTGCTGCACACGGCCCGTGGCCGCTCTCTTCTTGCTTGCTTCTTAACTTGTGGGGAGTTATTCAACTCCTCACATTCTCCCCTTACTTCCGGAACGCAATAGAGACTCGTTGTTCTCTCTTTCTTGGAATCCTCCAAATATTGACATCCTTCCCTGAACGTATCTTCTCCTCGAACTTGTCCTTGTTTACTTGTAATCTTCTAGTCGAGTCACTCCTCCAGATGGTTCCTATCGACGCTCACAGCTTCTTCTTGAGTTCCACAGCGCCGATCCTCCTTCCAGATTTTGAGACTCCAGTCCCAGACGTTTCCCCCGTACACTTTGAATTCTCGCTCAGACGTTTCCCCATAGACTTTTGAATTCCCGCCCCAGATGTGTTCCCCGATTACTTTCTCGATCTCCGTGACTTGTCCTCTCCGTCGGATGGTCACTCTACGTCGTGCCGATCGGTCTCCAGTTGTTATCGGTGTTATCGATATTCTCCCGTGTGACTCTCCGTTGTATGGTCACTCTCCGCCAAACCGATCGGTCTTCAGCTGCTATCGGTTCCGTGACCCAACGTGGCGTTGTCACCCGCTGTTATCGATGTTCCACAGTGTGACTCCTTGTGCCGATATTTCCAGTATTTTGTGCCCACCGATCGACACTATCGTCCAGTGCCAATCGGCCGCCTTACATCAAAGTGCCCCCATCCCTTGTTTAAAGTGACTTCGCAAAATGATATGGTAAGCGCAATTTCCTATCGATTTGTTGTTTACTTATTGTCTCTTTCTTTCAAAGCTTGGCCCAGGATTGCAGAGTTGACCTTTCCTGCCCTTGGGGCCGGGGTCAATGACCCTGCTAGGTTCATCACCTTCTTGCGTCGTTCTGCATTTAGTTGGCAAGTGGTTTGATTCACAGCGACCCCGGATTCCATGTGCACTTTATGTGTGTGTTTTTCATTTTTATACCCTTGCAGAGGGTATTATAATTTCAGTCAGAAGTTTGCAACGCAGTGAAGGAGACGTCTCCGACCCTATAAAGTATATATATTCTTGATCAGCATCACTAGTAGAGTCGATCTAGCCATGTCCGTCTGTCCGTCCGTCTGTCCGTCTGTCAGTCTGTCCGTCTGTCCGTCCGTTTATATGCAAACTAGTCTCTCAGTTTTAAAGCTATCTGCATGAAACTTTCCCAAAAGTTGTCTTTCTATTGCAGGTAGTATATAAGTCGGAACGAGCCGGATCGGACGACTATAGCATATAGCTCCCATAGGAACAATCGGAAAAATAAATGAAAAAAAAATTATAACTTTGCTGTTTTTTAATTTTTTGTTTAGTTCTTCGACGTTTAGTAATGGTTAAATATTTCTGATTTACGGTTTAAATTTCATCAAAATCGGACGACTATAGCATATAGCTCCCATACGAACAATCGGAAAAATAAATGAAAAAAATTATAACTTTTCTGTTTTTTAATTTTTTGTTTAGCCCTTCGACATTTATTAATGGTAAAATATTTCCGATTTACGGTTTAAATTATATCAAAATCGGACGACTATATCATATAGCTCCCATAGGAACAATCGGAAAAATAAATGAAAAAAATTATAACTTTTTTGTTTTTTAATTTTTTGTTCAGTTCTTCGACATATAGCAATGGTTAAATATTTCAGAATTATGGTTTAGATTTTATCAAAATCGGACGTCTATATCATATAGCTCCCATAGAAATAATAAAAATATATAAAATAACTATCAAATAATTGAGTTGCTAATCATCATAGCTTCAATGTTTTTAAACATATACGCAGTAAATCATAATTTTAATGTTTTCAAAAATGTTAAATTCTTGCAATAGCTGCAAGGGTATATGAACTTCGGC